TGTTTATCGTTCGAAAAATCCGATTGCTTCATGTCCAAAAAAGTTAATTTCTAAGTTTTGTTTTTAAAATTTAAAAAGTATATATATATAAATAATACTTGGAAAAATTAAAAAACTTTTGGGGTAAATTAGATATAAAATCATTATTCAATGACATATTTCCTTCTTTTTCAGCATATCTTTTGACCACCAGTCTTGCACGATACCTCTCCACTTGATCTTCACCATTTCGCTTGATTTTGAAAACCCATTTGTTACCAATTGGCTTCCTTCCTTGTGGTAGTGGCACAAGGTCCCATGTATTATTTTTATGAAGGGCTTCGATTTCTTCTTGCACCGCCATCATCCACAGTGAAACATCTGAGCTGTGTATTACCTCCTGGTATGTTGATGGCTCACCGTCCTCTGTTAAAAGGAAGTAAGCAATATTACCTTCTATAACATAATCTGAGTGCCAATTGGGATGTATTCTCACACGATCTGATTGACGAGTTGTTGGAGCTTCAGAACTCCCTGGTTCTTGTTCATCATGTGCTGGTTCTGCTTCAGAAGAATCTCCTTGTTCAACCTCATTTTCCACATATATCTGTGTAGTCTCTGACTTTTCAGTGCTATCATCATCTTCTTTTCTTTGTAACTTATCTTCTACAAAGATAACATCCCTGCTAATGATCACTTTGCGGGCAATAGGATCCCACAAGCGATACCCCTTTACACCATCAGCATACCCCAAGAATTTGTATTTTCTGGATTTTGGATCCAGCTTTGAAATTTCTTGGGAGTTGTACATCACATACACAATACTTCCAAATACATGGAGGTTTGAATAATCAGCTGGTTTACCAGTCCACATCTCCATTGGTGTCTTCAGCTCTATTGCAGTGGATGGAGCTCGATTCACCAAATAACAGACGGTATTGACTGCTTCTACCCAGAATAATTTTTCTAGGCCTGCATCCCTCAACATTGCTCTTGTTCTTTCTAACAAGGTTCTGTTCATCCGCTCTGCCACTCCATTTTGTTGAGGAGTGTTCGCCACTGTGAACTGTCTTTTGATGCCTTCTTTCCTGCAAAAGTCATCAAATTCTTCACTTGTGTATTCTCCTCCATTATCTGTTCTGAAACACTTGATTTTATTTCCAGAATCAAGTTCCACCCGCGCTTTGAAGTTTTTGAAAGTTGAAAACACATCGGACTTCTTCTTAATAGGGTACACCCAACATCTCCTGGAGTAGTCATTAATAAATGAGACAAAATATTTTGCTCCGCCTAGGGATGTAACTGGTGCTTGCCATATGTCAGAGTGAACCAGTTCTAGAACACTTTTGCCTCTAGAATTTGATGTGTTGAATTTCAATCTGTGCTACTTACTTGTTATGCAATGCTCACATAAAGTAAATGATACATTTGTTAAGCCTAGAAGTAGCTTTTGCTCCATTAGAACTTTCATTCCTTGTTCTGACATGTGTCCAAGTTTCTTATGCCATAGTATTGCAGAATCTGAACTACATGAGGCAACAGAGGCTTCTGCTTCTAGCAATGTCTCTCCCTTCAGCATGTACAAGTTTGCAGCTATCTTTTCACCTTTCAGCACCACAAGCTCTCCACGGAACACCTTCATGATTCATTTCCGTGTTTCAATCTTGCTAGCATTATTATACAACAATCCGTAGGATAATAAATTTTTCTTCAGACCTTTCACGTGCCGCACATCTCGAACAACTTTAATTGTTCCATCATACATCTTCAATTTGATGGTTCCCACGCCAACGATCTCTAAGGCATGATCATTGCAACTATACACATATCCTCCTGAGACAGGTTCATAATGATGGAACCATTCTCTTCTTGAGGTCATGTGATATGTTGCTCCCGAATCAATGAGCCATATATCTACAAATCGTTTTCTTCCTTCCACGGTGGTTGATGCTTCACAACATAGAGCATCTCCATCATCTGAAGTGTTTGCGGTATTGCCTTGTGGATTGGAGTTTTTATTTAGACTCCAACAATCCTTCTTCAAGTGACCCTTCTTCCCATAGTTGTAACACTTTAAATTCTTCTTGCTTCTCGACTTCGATCTACCATGTTTGTGACTGCTGCTTTGGCCACGTTCTGTTGATCTCCCTCTCATCGTTGTCATCGTTGTCAACGCTTCTGCTTGTTGCAGATTTACTTGTCTGTCTTCCTTGTTCTTACGCCGATTTTCTTCTTGTAGAACAGCAGCTGCAACGTCATCGAAGACTAGACTGGTGACATTACTATTTGTCAAGTTGATGATGAGTTGATCATATGAATCCGGTAGACTTTGAAGTAGAAGTTCAGCACGTTCTTGTTCTCCTATTTTCCAGCTTAAGGATGTAAGCTGAGAAAATAAAGTGTTCAGTGTATTTAAGTGTTCCTTCACTGAAGTAGATTCTGGCATACGGAGAGTGTACAATTTTCTCTTAAGGAAAATTTTATTGTGCAACGATGTGGCCTCGTACAGTTTGGTGAGATGATCCCATATCTCCTTAGCTATCTTCTTCTCCTCGATACTTGACAATACTTCATCTACTAATGCTAGATGAAAGTTTGCCATAACATTTTCGTCCATTTCGATCCATTTGTTGTCATCTGTGAAATCTACTGGCCTTTCGCTGATAGCTGCTAGACAACCGTCTTTCCTCAGGATGGCTTTCATCTTCAATTTCCACAATGAGAAATTTCTCCCATTGAACTTTTCAATATTAAATTTCATCGTCATTGCTTCGTTTACGGATAGCTCCCACTATTTCCCTATCGTGAATAGTTCTCTGGAACCTTCAAAGAATGGGTAATAACTTCTTACTTTCTTATGTTGGAGGATCCACCTCTTGGTGACAACCACAAAGATAATAAGCAGATATTACACACTCTAATCTAGCTCGGATACCAATTGTTGCGGAAGACGGCTATCGGATAGAGCAAAATCGCAACTGATAATTTGAGAAAATAAAAATGAAGATAAAAGAGACACAAAATTTATGTGGAAAACCCCTAAAAATTTAGGGTAAAAACCACGGGCAACGGTAGAAGAATTTCACTATGAGAAAATAGGAATTACAACCTCTCTCGATCTACCAAGGAGAAAACAATGATAATTCTCTCTTGATAAAAAGGAGAAAACAACTCTCAAGAAACTCTCTAAATTCTCTCTAGTATTAGAAGAAAGGTAGAATACTTTGGGATGGTTTTGAAGCTAAATGAGCTAGGGTATTTATAGTTAAAGCTTTAAGGACTAATTTGTAAATACCCTAAATTATAATGACTAAATTATGCTTATACCATTTAGCAATTTCAACAATTGTGTGCTCCTTTTGACCATTGCACCGAATTGTGCATTAATGCACTATTTTTTGTGCTGACTTTTAACACTGGGTCGGGACGGTCGCTCTCACCTCTGCAGTATCTGAACTAGATTAATCGATCAATAGATCGGATATCAATGATTAATTAATAAAAATGACGATTTCACTCTTAGCTATTAGAATAAGATCAAAATTAAAATAAGAAGAAGACAAAATTGCAACCATTTCCACATGGGCCAGCACTGAAAAAATGTCCCGTGGTCATCGTCTACTAACGAACAACCTCGAGACTTCCGCCACCGTGGGAATCTGACAAAAAAATCTCAGCTGACGTCAAATCCCGACAACATCCCAGCAATCCATTAAACCTTGTAGTTTCAGAAAGTGCAGCCGCAAAAAAGAAAAAAGAAGCAGAGCATGGAAACCAAAGCGACGGACTCGAACGCCGCGATGAGACTCCAAATGACGGCATCGATGATCGAAGAGCTAAGTTGCGACCACCCGATAAAACCCCATCTCCACCGCTGGCTGGTGGAGCTGAATGGAAAGTGGTCCGACGCCACCCACCGGAACGCTGACGTGGCCCATCTCCCCACCATTAGCACACTAGCAGCAGGTTGTAAGTAAAGATGAACCCTAGACTGAGTGGACTAGTAGAGGGATGGTTTTATAATGATAAAGAGTAGTAGTTGTAATGATGAAACTTAATGGCTTCACGTTAGATTATATAAGGAAATTATACAGACACGTCGTGGTTGTTTTTTTTAATAATATGTGAAAATTATAAAATAATATTTATTTAAAAAAATTAATCATAGATAATATAAACATATTTTATATGTTTTTGCCTTGGTTGCCAAGAACCTGTTCTAGCTGTAAATCTTTTGGTCACCTAGCTAGTAGATGTGTGGCTAGTCAGAAGGTTGTGGGGAAGCAGGAGGTTCAAGTCTGGAGGAAAAATGTTAATGCCTCTTCTGAGCCTTGTGATAAGTTGAAGTTGGATCAGGGTATAAATCTGAGTATTTCTCATGTTGATTCCAACTTGCCTACTAGTTCTACTGTTGACGCCATCCCTGTAGTTGGTTTTGATAGTCTAAACTCTGAGCTGGTGGTTGGTGTGGCTGAGGAAACTTCTGTGACAGCCTTGCAGGAGGTCTCTGTTATTCCAATTCAGGGGGTTGTAATCACTAGTGTTGTTGTGTAGGACTCTGATAGTGTCTGTTGTGTTATTGCTGGAAATCAGAGTGTTGCTGTTGCTGATCCTGGCAGCATGCTTAATTCTTCCTTAGTTGAGGAATTGTCTCAACAAGTTCTGCTAGAGGATGAATCAGTAAGGGATTTTCCCACATTGCAGGATTCCATGGTCCAAAAGAAAAAGACTAGAGGTAGGAAAAAAGATAATGTTGGTTCCTCTAGAAAACTTGATATGCTATCTGGTGGTGGTGCTATGGATGGCCAAAGAAAAGCTAGGGTGTCTTCTTTGGGTGCTGCAGCCCTGCTTAATGAAATTAAAACTAAGAAGAAGGACCTAGTGGATAAAACCAAAGTCATTGGGGGTGTGGTTGTTGGTGGTGTAGGCCCTGTTATTACTTGATATTGGTGAGCTTCTGGAATGTGAGAGGGATTAATAACCCTCTCAAGCAACATAAAGTGCTCAGTAGGCTGGTTGCTATGGAAGTTGATGTTGTGTGCCTTTTGGAAACTAGGATTAGGAGGATCAATGCTGGTAAATTCACCTCTGTGTTCTCTAATGACTCGAATATGGCTGATACTTATGAGTCTATTGAGGGTGACAGAATTTGGGTTTTGTGGAAGAAACAGTGGTCTTTTACTGTCTTGAAGGTTACTGATCAGTCCCTAACTATTGCTGGCAATGTTAATGGTCATAGGACTCTGATCACTGTTGTTTATGGTTGTAACAGCAGGACTGCCAGGAGAGGATTATGGGATCATCTAAAAATCCTGGAAAGTGAGGCTGATTCTTCTCCTTGGGTGGTTGGAGGAGATTTCAATGTCATCCTTAGAACTGAGAGCTCTGACTTTGAGACCCTAGGTGTGCACATCTCCCCTGACATGGAGGATTTTCAAGACTGTCTGGAGGACTTAGATCTTTTGGACCATCCCTATCTAGGTCCTTCCTTCACTTGGTCTAATAAACAGGACGAGGCTCGCAAGTTAGACAGAATTTTGGTTAATCCTGGTTGGCTGTCTGTTTTCCCAGATTCCTTTGCTGAATTTAAGGCGCAGGGTGTTTCTGATCACTGTCTTGGTGTGATTTGGACTCAAAAGGGTGTCTTGGCTAGGAGGCCAAAGCCTTTTAAATTTTTTAACTATTGGACCACTAGTGCAAACTTCTTGAATATTGTAAAGGTGTCTTGGTTGGAACACTGTGAGGGTAATCCTTTGCAAAGGCTTTTCACAAAAATGAAAAGACTAAAGCCTAATTTGAAGAACTTAAATAAGGAACAATTTTCTGATATTTCAAAAAGAGTTCTCAGTAAAAGAGCTGACCTGGAAATAATTCAGCTGAGAAATTTGAATCATGTTGATCAAAGGAATATTGATGAGGAGAGGATTGTTCATGCTGAGCTGGTTGATCTGGAGGTGGCTGAATCTGATTTTTATAGGCAGAGGGCAAAGGTTCATTGGCTAAAGGAATGTGACCTTAATACAAAGTTTTTCCATCAAAGAGTTGAATCTAATAAAAAGAGGAACACTATAAAAGTTTTAGAGACTGATAATGGGTAATTTTTGGATTCTTTTGATGGCATGGCTTCTGAGCTTGTGAATTTTTTCACCAATCTCTTTGGAACAGTTGATCCAATGGTTAGGTGCCCCCCTGTGTCACATCTGAGGGAACTATTGAACTTCTCCTTTGCTGCTGGTGCTGAAGATACGCTCACTAGAGAGGTTGAAGATAAAGAAATAAAGGATGCATTATTTAGGCAAGGTAATGGGAAAAACCCGGGTCCTGATGGTTACTCACCTTGGTTTTTTAAGGCTGCATGGGAAGTGGTTGGCGGTGACTTCTTAGCTGCAGTTAGGTTCTTTTTCCATTCATCTTCCTTGTTGCCTGCGTTCAATGCTACTACTATTGTTTTAGTCCCTAAGTCCTTGAATGCTTGTAGGGATAAAGATTTTAGACCTATTTCTTGTTGTTCTGTGGTGTACAAGACCATTACTAGAATTATTACAACTAGGTTGTCTCTCTTTTTTCCTAGTATGATCTCTCCTAGCCAAACTGCTTTTGTAAAGGGCGGGAATATTGTTGACAACACTTTGTTAGCTCAGGAAATAGTCAAATGTTACTCTAGAAAGAGTCTTTCTCCTAGATGTGCCATAAAGTTTGATTTACAAAAGGCCTTTGACTCTGTGAACTGGGAGTTTTTGATGTCTGTTCTCGAGGCTATGGGCCTGCCTATGAAGTTTTGCAGTTGGATTAGGGCTTGTGTCACTTCATCTAAGTTTTCTATTTCTCTTAATGAAAGTCTAGTGGGGTTTTTCAATGGTGCTAGAGGGGTCAGGCAGGGGGACCCTTTATCTCCATATCTATTTGTATTGGTGATGAATGTTTTGTCCTATTTACTGGATATCTCTGCAAAGAATGGAATTTTTAATTATCACCCAAAGTGTAAGCGGATCACCCTCACACACCTTTGTTTTGCTGATGATCTGCTGGTGTTTTGTTATGGTTTCTTGGATGCTGTTATGGGTGTTTTGAGTACTTTGGAGGCTTTCTATGAGCTCTCTGGTCTTCGGCTTAATGCTCAGAAAATTGAGATCTATGCTTGTGGCTTGTCTGAGTCTGTCCTTGAGCAAATACGGTCTGGTACAAGGGTTAGAGTAGGGCAGCTCCCTGTAAAGTACCTTGGGGTATCTCTGGTGACCAGGAAGCTTACTGGGAAAGATTGCTCTGCTTTGGTGACAAAGATTAAGGAAAAACTCAGTAAGTGGTCTAATAAGAAGTTGAGTTTTGGGGACAGGTTGCAACTTATAAAAACTGTCATGTTCAGTATTTTCAGTTATTGGAGTAGGCAACTTGTTCTGCCAAAAGGGGTCATTAATGATGTTAAAAGATTATGCATGAGATTCTTTTGGAAATGTTGTGATTCCCCAGCTAGAGGAGCTAGGGTTAGCTGGAAGCAAATATGTTCTTTAAAATCTGAGGGAGGCTTGAGTTTGAGGAGTTTAGCAGATTGGAGTAAAGCTTGCTGCTTACTGCTCATCAAGAAAATCTTGGCAGGTGAGGGCTCTCTTTGGATTGCTTGGGTGAATGCCTACTGCCTCAGATCAGTTGATTTTTGGAATGCTGATTATAAGGCTCACTTCAGTTGGATCCTAGCTAAGTTATTCAAAATGAGGAGTGATGCTAGGAGGTTATTTTGTTCCAACAGAAACTGGGACCAAATTAATGCTAGATGGATATGGGAAAACATTCGGAATAGGTGTGAGAAGGTTTTCTGGCACCGCCTGGTGTGGTTCCCTGGCCATATCCCAAAATTCTCACTGATTTCTTGGATGGCAATCTTGGATAGATTGCCAACAAAGGACAGACTTTCTAGGTTTGGTATTATAATGGATGGAGGTTGTGGTCTGTGTAGCTCTGGGCTTAAATCCCGTGATCATCTATTCTCTGACTGTGTTTTTGCAAGGGAAGTTTGGACTGCTATTCTTCTTGCATGTGGTCTTACTCAGGCACCTCTTAGCTGGAGTGACTCTATCCACTGGCTGCTGCTCAACCTTAAGGGCAAATCTCTACTGGTGCGCATCCTAAAGTTGGCTTGGACTGGGTTTATTTACTACATATGGGAGGAACGTAACCACGGACAATTTAGAGGCTCGCATCGTTCGGTTGGAACTTTTGTCTGTAGTATTAAAGAATCTGTTAGAATAAAATTGTATAGAAGTCATATGAATAGGGTAGATGCTGTTAATAGGAAATTGTGTATAGATTGGGGTTTGGTGTAATGACTTTGTGATTACGTTTTGTAGCAGCTTGTGCTGCCTTCTTTTTGGATGAATGAATTTTTACTTATCCAAAAAAAAAAAATTTATATGTATAATTGTTTAAATATAAGATTTAAAAAAATAATATTTTTTTATCATTGTAGTTAATCATTAAGATATAAAATTTATTCAAAATTTTTAAATTATTGATAATGTATATATATCCTAATATTTAAATATAACATCACCTTATTTTACCATTTCTGTTGATGGGTGATCTATGGACCCGCTTTCTAAAGGGTCAAATTGCTTGATTGGTCCCTATAATATGTACTTTTTGCAAATTTAATCTGGATTGCGGTCAACTATTCCTTGATATTATGACTAATTTAAGTATTACAACAAAAAATCATTAAATTGATAAATTGCCGGCGGACACTCACGATTTCATTAGCCGGCAGCAATGCCAATGTGCCGGCCATGTTTTTGAAATGGAGATTTAATTGCGGTCGTCTTAAGCTGTGCCAAGAAGGGTCTAATCGTAGTTATAGTCCCTCAATTATGCTAAAATTTAAGGTTTAGTCATTAAGTTTTAATCTTTGACATGAACTTTTAGTTAACCATGTTCAACCAGGAGTAAACCATCTTCATTCATGTTATCAACCTCTTCATCACTAGCTGTATCTTAGATCAAGATAAATGCACAATTGTGTCAAAATTGAAATTTTAATAGTACAATTAAATCAAAATCAGGATTTCATGTGTATAAATTCATATATTGCATTGATCGATATTCAAGTAAATTCGACATTCACTTCTTTTCCTTTTCTTCCTCCTCTCTAGCACAGACAGACAAGGTATCCATCCTCCTCTCAGAAAAAAAAATATTTTCTATTCTCTATTTCCTAAGCTTACAAGTTTGAGTTCTGCCCAACTAAGGTTAGGGCTGGCTCACAAAAAACCCCATTTGATCATATCTTAATTGATTCACTCAGTTTCTTGAGCTTCACCTCTTCAAGATCATGTATAAAACAATCTAAATCCAGCATATATTTTCCTTCCGGTTGAGTCTTAGCTCAGTTGACAAAGTTGCCATTGTAACAACTTGACGGCTGTGAGTTCGAGCAAATCTTAAGGGTGCAATAACCTCCGATTCAATTAGGAGGGGGTTAAAGAAAGCATATATTATGCTTCTTCCATAGGTAGAATAAGCAACTCCGCAGCACCATTTGATCATATTCAGTAATTCACTTCAGCTTCTCTCCTCTTCAAGTCCCATCTTCGAGGTCATGTATCAAACAATGTAAATCCGGCATATATCCTGCTTCTTTCATATGCAGAATAAGCAACTCTACGACCCCATACAAACACTCTGTGTGAGAGTCAACCTTATCACCAACAACAAAGCTGTAAACTTGATTTCTTACCTCGATCCAACTCCTTCCTGCCTCTTTTCTACTCCCGGTTCTTCTCATCAACTTCCTCATTCTTGCGAATTCCCCCCACTTACCCTCGGCAGCGTAGATATTTGACAAGATCACGTATGCCCCCAAATTATTTGGCCTCAAATCCAATAACTTAAATGCTGCTAGTTTTCCCATCTTTGTGAGCTTATGTGCCTTACAAGCACCTAGAAGTGCACCCCAAACCGATTCATTAGGCTTAAATGGCATGCTCTTGATTAGTTGATAAGCCTCCTCAACTCTCCCACCACGACCTAGCAAATCGACAACACACCCGTAAATCTCCTGATCGGGGTTGACATTGTAAGTACTCATTGATTTGAAACACCTCAAGCCTTCATCTATAAGTCCAGCATGGCTGCAAGCACTAAGAAATGCCATAAACACTATCCTGTCGGGTCTAATTCCGGATATGACCATCTTCATCAAACAATTTAACTGCTTCTTTCCCACAACCATGTGCCCCATAACCAATCATCATAGAAGTCCATGACACCAAATTTCTATCAGACATTTCACTAAAGATTTTGTGTGAGTCAGCTATGCTTCCGCACTTGGCATACATGTCAAGGGCATTAGCCAACACCGGGTTCCCTTGAAGACCTCTGCGAACAATGCCTGTATGAACCTGTTTCCCACAATTCAAAACCGCTGAATTTGCACAGGCAGCAATAAAAATGGCTGTCCCTTTTTCCCATATATGAGGTAAGGGGGAGGTAAGATAGTAGGCTATCCCCCAACACCAAGTTGAGAGCAACTTCCGTAAAAGACCTCCGAATTATGAAATGCCCTCCGTGGGACTCGATCCCACGACCTCAAGATTAAGAACCTTGTGCTCTACCAACTGAGCTGGATGGTCATTTCATTTGTGAGAATAACTTCAAGGACTCTTTACAATCAAGTCTTCCGTAACCAGCTATTAAGGTGTTCCACCCGATAAGATCTTTTTCAGTCATCTCATGGAAGTACTCATTTGCTTCGGATAAAAAACCACACCTGCAATACATGTCTAGCATAGAATTCATGACGCGAAGATTAGAACCAAGCCCGTTTTTAATGACTGCTGCGTGTATTTGCCTACCAAAAGTATATGAACCTATAGTAGCACAAGCACTAATGGAAATTGAAAAACTATGGGGATTCAGCTCTGCTCCCTCCTGTTCACCAAACAATGCAAACGAAATGAGAAACAATTTCATGAGCAGCCTTTGTTTACTAAACTAGATGCTAAAGCATCGAATCTTGAGAACTGAAACTACCTAGGTAAAGTATAAAACGTTCAGTACTACACATAAAAACATGGGAAGTTTCACAAATGCAGAATAAACCCATATAAATTCATAAGTTCCATGGTTAGAATGAACAATTACCAGTAATATTTCTCTGAAGACTTGAAGTCCACCATAGCCATCACCCCGATGAGTGTAACCGGTGATCAAAGTAGTCCAAGTGACCATATTTTTCTCTTTCGTAACTCTAAAAACCGAGCACGCATCCTCCATGCTAACGCAGCACGTAGCATACATGTCCATAAGCGCATTGTCAACGTATAACGAACCCTCTAACCCAAGCTTCATAGCCATCCCATGAACCAAACCTCCACGTGCAAGACACTGCATGGATTTAAAAGCCTTCAAGACATTAGATATAGTAAAAGCATTGGGGGTTCTCCCCGTTATTTACCATCTTACAGAACAGAGTCCATCCGTGGACATAATGGTTGCACGAAGTGTAGCCAGCAATCATGGCCGTCCACATAATCACATCTCTTTCAGGCATTTCGTCGAACAGAGCACGTGCGTCACCTATCAAGCCCCTGCCGAAGAAAGATTTGATAACATTTGTGGCCAATATAGCAGACCCGTTTGCTCCTTTCGGTAGGTTGGCAATGGGTATCTTTGATAATATAATTGATCTTTACAATTTTAAGGATATTACAATAATATCACTCTATCTACATATTTTTTCAATTAGGTCCATATTTTACTTGATAAACATGATATATATATTTTGGGTCAAGTGTGAACTTTTACCTTAAATTCGAGTTAGATTTCAGGTTGAGTGAAACTTTTCTAAATCCAGGTCGGATGATGTATGTTATACACAAGTCATGTTCGGATGAGTTTTTGAGTAAAAAACTCGACTCAACCCGACCCATGACTATCCTTAATCCGGTGTCAGTAGATAATACATAAGAGGAAACACGTAGGCTAAGTGAGCGAGAGTCTTCATAAGAAGAGAACCATATCATCTTCAAGTTCACATTTAACAAAGCTGACCGGTATAATCGGAATGATATTTTAAGGATTCAATCGAAACGTTTCAAGGATCAACATTGAATGGAACTTATAGTTTAAGGATGTATGATGCAATTAACCCTTAATAATTTCACATTACTACTGTTTTTAACATTTCAAATCATACTAAATAGAGAGCAAATAACAAATGGAAAATGTTTTATCTCAGGGAAGACTGTATTTATAGGTCATTCATTGTTCCTTGCAAGTTAAGGAACATCCTCATCACAAACTTTTAATGTGTGATTCATTATACAAAAGCAATAGATGTACCACTAAAAAAACCCCAAAAATGGCATCTGTTTCGTTTCGTTCTCGTACACTAATATCGACTTTTCATTTCATTCTCGTACACTAATATCGACTGTTTCAGACAACACTAAAGGCTGACTGTATGGTGGAAGAAAATCTTGATGCAATGGTCTGGGTGGCGAACTGTTGAATCTGCTTCTTGGCATCTGAAAACAACGACCAAACAAGTATTTTACCGTTAACATACGAGCTGGAAAAAAAAACAGCGGAAAAACGGGCAACAAAAACATTGAATAGTCTGTTGGATCACATGGTGCATTCTTCGGCACTCGAATCTTAGCACCTATGATCGTAATAACTGAGGTTCATCATCAATAATCTCTCAAACTAAACAAAGGGCAGAAAGGAATCAAGTTCAAAACTATAACCTGACACAGACCGAGAATACATGCAGAAACAAAAACAAATGTATGAATACCTATTGGCCGGTTTACACCAAGCGGAATCACTACCCTGATGGCTGATCTTATGCAAACTGATAACAACAATCATGCAGCCAAATGACCGATAAAAAGCGGTATATGTTTTGCTTCTCTTTTAAACAATCATACAGGCTAGTAATGAACTTCTGGGAAATACTATCTTCCATCAAATATAATAGATTTAGACTCGGAAAATCTTGTCTCGACTTAAAATTGTCTTGGCATGTTAAATTATTCTAGACCAATTCCTAATTAAGTAATAATCAGCACGCCATTTCCTGGTATAATTCGATGCAATAGCATAATAATTTTGCATAAGACAATTCTTGAATGAATAGCTAGACTAAGGCTAAAAATCCCACTATACCGCATTCAACCAAGCACCGTAATTATAGTACATAAATCTACCTTTCTGGCATTTGGTGAAGCCGACGATATTTGCAATGTTGAGAGTCAAACAAACTCCGATAACGAGGAGATAATCAGCCTGAAACCTTATGAGAGAGAATATTCCAAGCACAATCCAGGCCACTGCCTGAAGAATTAAAGAATGAATTAATGAATTTGATCATTTGGGACACAACCTTACCTATCTCCACATAGTAAGCCATGGGGATAAACTTACTGAAAGGTAAAGGGTCCACCAAAATAGCCACGAATCTTTCTTGTTCATCCGGGCCAATGACTAAAACAGACAGCAACGATATGCAATTGAGAGACTTGATAATGTTAAATCTAAAAGATATATGTATGGTTCGATTAAGCGAAGCGCTAACCTCTTGGTCAAGACATTCAAATCTCCATACACTCTCACCGAGATCATTAATTTCGTTCCACCACCTCAAACCAACCAATATACGGCCACTGACATTCTTAACCACCCAAAAATCAAGAGCAGAAAGGAGGACAGTCACCACAAATATGATCACAAAGCTGTTGAAGAAGAGAGTGGAAAGAATGTAAAAGGCCAACGCCGCAGCCTGCAGTGAACAAGAAGCTAAACATCAATGCAGAGAGCGGTGTATAAATCCGATTCACCGGATCAAGAAAATTAGATCCACGAAAACAACCGACCTTGAAGAGAACATGAAAGAAACATGTCTTGGGGTTGGCATAATTTTCAACAGGAGGCTGCACAACAAAAAATTCCAATCATTATAAAGAATCAAAACAGCACTCTAACCACCAACAGGGGTGGACCAAGGGGTGCTGCGGCGCGGTCACACCACTGGAAATTTCATATTCACATATAGTTTAAGTATTTTCTTTGCATTTTATAAGTTCACACCCCTAATTTTTTAATATAAATTCCTAAATTCGCACCCGCTAACATACAATACAATCCTGCATCTGCCCCTTACTACCAACCAAATAAACAAATGGATCTCGATTTAATAACATTTCTATCTAGTTTTCATGTCACCATCTTTCTTGAACCAAAACATTGAGGCTCTTCGCAGTACAAAATTGGATCTTGTGATCTACTTTAAACAGCCTAGAGTTTCTTAACAACATTTGTTTACAAATTGTTAGTTTTCATCTGTTTTATCATCAACCAAACAAAAGGGTACCCTTCAAATCTCTAAAAAGACTCGATCTACCAGTTAACCAATCAAACCACAGCATCGTACGTAGAACAAGGAGTTACAAAATCAAGGATATTTGATAAACTAGCAAAAATTAAAATTGAAAGAATTATAAGAGAGATAGATCAACTAACCTGAGCGAAGTCCATTATGGGAATATGAAAGAATTTGGAGATTTTACAGGGATTCAGTAAAAGAAATCGACTTCCTTTTTCCCTCCTAAAGACTCGAGGGATTTTTTTCTGGGAAACTTTTCTCGAGTCAGTTTTGGTTTTCTTTTGTTTATAGGATCAGCTGAAATGAGGGATATTTACGCAATAGGTCCTTAATATTTCAGGAATTACTTGGATTTATCCTTTTTCCACCAAATATTATAATCATGGAGCTTAGTATACAAATTGGCACATGAAGTTAACAAATTTTCTCAAATTAGTATCTGTAATTCTTTTTTCTTAAATTAATATTCGATTTTTTTTCAAATTGGCATTTATGTTGATGTATCACTTCAATCATCAATTAGATAGTTAACATAATTAAAATGCTGATGTGTCACATCCTATTAGCTATTGTAGTGTCACATCAGAATCATGTACCAATTTGAGATTTTTCTAAGTTTAAATATCAATTTGAGATAAAAAAAATAGGTATCAATTTAAAAAACACAAACTTTATGTACTGATTTGTATAATAAGCCTAATCATATCATTCATACAAAATATGTTTATTTATTTTTTATTATGTATTGACTAGTATTTAAGATTCATCTTGATGATTTATGTTTGAATTTCATTATGTATAAATATCATGTGTAAATTTTCAATTACCTCGAATAGAGATAAATCAAGAGAAAATAAAATTTATGATTTTTTAAAATATAAAATAATTTTTTAAAATATAAAACAATTTTATAAACTTGCTATTATACTTTATTTTTAAAAAAAAAACATTATTTTTAATACTTGCATTAATTGTTAACAATGTCTTAAAATAGCCCCTCACTTAATTTGGTATAATTTGAAATTTGTAGTTTTCTCTTATTGGTAAGTCGTTCATTTTTTTTTCTTTTTGTCTTTGTTGATCGGTAGCACTATTAACTTTAATGTTGGTTGTCGACTGCATGTATTCTTTATTGTCTTTTTATTTGCTATTGTTTTTTATTTTCAATAAGTCTGTCTGTATGACACGTTTTTTATATATTTATAACATGTTTTCTTCTGTCTTTTGGCATGTTTTCTTTTGTCTTTTGGCATGTTTTCAATCGTTTGACCGTTGTTTTCGCTTATTTTTTCTAACTGTTGATTAGACATCGCCACAACTGATCAATGTAACACTTATCTGTTATATTATTGATCTTTCATGCTTTGGACCTTCAGATTAGATTTGATACCCGTTATGCGTTCGTTGATAGCTTTTCACGTCGCTCGAGTCTGATTTGCGGTTTGTCGGTGACCTTTCAGTATTTTGATCTCATTTTGTGGTTCGTTTGTCGATGCGATCACATATGTTTGTATCTATCTTTATTAGAGTTTTATTGGTTAGAATTTAATATTTCCTTGTATGGTCCTTATGCGATCTTAAATTGCTAGTTTTGTTTCAACGATTATAGGAAATTATCTTAATTATGTGCTTAATTTACGATTATGATTGTAAATTTTTATTGTAATTTAGGGCCTTTTCTATTTTGAATAAAATTAGTGATTTCTTAAAAAAACAGTGTATTAAAATATTACAACTAAATAAAAATGAACGTCATTTAATTAATTAACTTTTCTATATTTTGTAAAATTTATAAACATTTTCTCAAATATATCAAGTAACACTCAAATAGATAGTATAAAAAGATACTCTACAAACCGGATTGTATTTAGAGATGAGTATGGGTAGGGTTTTTTGTCCACCCGACCCGACCCGAGAAGAAAGAACCTTCCACCTGAAATCTGACCCGACCTGACCAAAATAATATTCTACCTATCCGAACCCGACCCGATATATCTCTTAAAACCCCGACCCGAAATAATAATAAAATATTATTTTTATTCAATGAAAACAATGACTTAATTGAAAAAAATAATATATAGAGGGGTATTATTGTAATTATTCCTAAATATATAAGTTAAAATTATATATTTTTGGGTCGATCGGGTCGGGTATTTTTCACCCTAAATATGGACCCGAAAATCACATTAAAAAAACCTTGACCCGAACCCGAATTTTTTTATTAAAAAAACCGAACTGATCGGGTCGGGTTCGGGTCCCATGCCCATCCCTAATTGTATTGGTGTCATCTATTTTATTTAGGGTTTAGAGTATAAGAGTTAGTATTTAAGATAATTCAAATATACCAAATAACACTAAAATAGACAAAGACATTATTATAAAGTCTGAATTTAACACAATCTATATATTAAATAATTTTTATTTTTGGATATACATTAGAGACGATTTTTATCGTATTAGAAAATTTATTTTGTCTTAATGTCATTTGTGAAATTATTATTTTTAATTGATATATATATATATATATATATATAATAGTAATAAAAGAAATGTGGAGGACATAGGGTGATAGAAAGTCCAATAGAACGAGAGGCTGTGGATGTAACCAAGATTGTGGTGTGGTGGGACGTTGTCTTATCATCGTCGCTTATTGTAAATGGCCATAAAACATGAGCCAATACCTCACCACTCAACCAAACCGAAGGCAAAGGCATGGCAAAGCTGGTGGTGTTGCAGCCAACAAAGCAACCTCCCATCTCCCTCCTCTCCTCCTCTCTCTCCCACTTCAATGGCACCAAACTCTCCCAAATCCAGGTATATATATATATATATATATATATACATGTTGGTGGTAACAATGTATGTTATGTCGGTTGGAGTCAGTTCACCCTTTTTGATTTAGATAGGGAGTCGTTGTGATAATGAATAGTTCTTCCCGCTTAATTAACGGCAAGACCTCCGCCTAAACTGGAAGGAGTTAAAACCGTCTCCCACTGAGATAACATAGATTGTTACCATCAACAAATTCATATTCTATTAAGAGGTGATCTCTAGTGAAAGTGGTTTCCTCTGGTTGCAGTACAAAAGAAAGGTATGTCAGCCAAAAGGTGCATTGCATGTTGTTGCAGCATCCAGCACCAAGAAAATCCTTATAATGGGCGGCACTCGGTTCATTGGTGTGTTCTTGTCTAGACTCCTAGTCAAAGAGGGTCATCAGGTTACTTTGTTTACTAGAGGTAAAGCACCCGTTACACAGCAGTTGCCTGGTGAATCAGACAGTGATTACTCTGATTTTAAGTCCAAGGTATATTATGTGCCTTGACAGCTTCAATGATTGTGCTTCCCGGTTGACGATTTAAGACTAATGTGAGTGATTTTTGGTACTAGATCTTGCATTTGAAAGGAGATAGACAGGACTTAGTTTGTCAAGTCCAGACTCTCTGCTGAAGGCTACGATGTGGTGTACGACATAAACGGTACTCGTCTCGTGCTCGTTCTGCATTTTGCTTTTCCATGAGAATAGATCTGTTTATTGATACCTTTTTGTACGACTTTCAGGACGAGAGGCTGTTGAAGTTGAACCCATACTGGATGCACTCCCAAATCTAGAGCAGTAAGCTTTAAAACCATTGTTTTGTTGAAGCTAGCTAGCAACTCAGTGTATCAGTTTATAAGTCTAAAACCGGTGTCAAAACGTTGACGATACCTTGATATTTTCGAAGCTTTCTAATGCTCTGCTAATTCTCAGGTTCATATACTGCTCCTCAGCTGGCGTTTACCTCAAATCTGATATTTTACCACATTGTGAGGTAGGGATTGTCAATTCCATTCATGTTTCATTGACATTTGTTATGTACATGTATGATCGCTTCTAACTCGTTGGTGGCCTGGAGATAGGTTGATGCAGTCGATCCGAAGAGTAGGCACAAGGGAAAACTTAATACCGAGAGCTTACTCAAGACGAGGGGTGTTAATTGGACATCTTTGAGACCCGTCTACATTTACGGACCTTTGAATTATAATCCGGTCGAAGAATGGTTCTTCCACCGTTTGAAAGCAGGTCGCCCTATTCCGATTCCCAACTCCGGAGTGCAAATAACCCAACTCGGTCATGTCAAGGTTAGTGGAACCACAGCACCGCTACACATGCTGGTATATGCTATTTAGGCTGCAAATAGAAATTTATATGATAATCCCTTGCAATATCGGAGAAACTTCAGGACTTTGGCAACGGCTTTCGTCCAGGTTCTCGGTAACGAAAAAGCCAGCAAGCAGGTGTTCAACATTTCTGGCGAAAAGTACGTCACTTTTGACGGATTAGCAAAGGCGTGCGCCAAGGTAATTCAAACCTTTTTCCATTGAGAAGATAAGAGATTCATTACTGAAGTTGTTGTTCTTCATCCAGGCTGGTGGATTTCCTGAACCTGAGATCGTTCACTACAACCCGAAGGAGTTCGACTTCGGTAAAAAGAAGGCATTCCCATTCAGGGATCAGGTAACTCTCAACACAAATTTCACTAAAAAACTTTAGACAAAATCATTTAAAGAAATTGAGAGACATTGCCAAGACATTACAGTAATCTAAATAAACATACCTTGTATTTATAAGACATCATAACCACTTTGTTCATATTTCCATATATTGCAGCATTTCTTTGCATCAGTTGAGAAAGCAAAGCATGTGCTGGGATGGAAACCAGAATTCAACCAGGTGGAAGGGCTCGCAGACTCTTACAACCTAGATTTCGGAAGGGGAACATACAGAAAGGAGGCCGATTTTACGACCGATGACATGATTCTGAACAAAAGTTTTGCTCTACAGTCCTAGGCAATTTGTCTCATCGTCACTTTTAAAATTTTCGCCTTTTCACGTTGGCATATAAAATAGTTAAGCAAAATGTTTCTATCTCATGTTAATATAAACTACATGTACTGTTCTTGATCAATTTGGAATGTGGAATTGTAGCCATTCATGCACATGCAATAGCATCAGTCCCTTTCTGGCATATCTAACCTTCTAAGGCGTAACTTTCAAAAAAAAAAAAACCTTCTAAGGCATACTATTGGAAATGAAAACACTACACTTGAATCATAACAAACACAAAGCATCTAATATAACAGTATTGTTTAAAGATGTCGACAACATGGGAGTTGAGGCGAGGAATATACACTGCACCAGAATGAATAAATCTAACGGATTTGCCGTTTTCGTATGGCAGCAAAACCGAACAAACAGATGCATAACACTCTTATTTCACATGATATACACTGTATAAGCTTTCAGCTATCATTTGGATGAGTGGCGATGGAAAGAGACAAGTCACCTATTTTGTTACCTTTTTCAGTCATCAGCCCATCGAACCCCATGTTTAGCCGAAAGATAGTACGAACCAACCGGACCTCTACCTCCGAGCTCGTACAACTCTGGTGCCATACTATTCTGGTCTATCCATTGCAGAACAGGTGTGATAATACTCCAAGCAGCAGCAAGCTCATCACTTCTCAAGAAGAGATGGTTATCACCATCAATTACATCAAGCAGAAGATGCTCATATGAATCAGGCACCTCGACGTTATACCTTTAGTATAAATACAAATTCGTAAATGTAAAAAAGACGCGCAAGTTGATGTCAGTGTCGAAAGTTAACAAGAGAAGGGTGCTCACTTGTCCTTATAAAGCAAATTTAACTCAGAAGCATCTAACTGCAACCCTAACCCTGGGATTTTATTGTTGATTTTCACTAGGATAGCCTCGTCAGGTTCGTCACGTAAAATCAATTCATTAGTGGAAAGGTCAGTATTATGTTCGATGCGCTCACGATAGAGATTTCCAGGAACAGAATTAAATTGAATACGTATCTCCAATCTGCATTACATAAGCTAATGTTGGTGAGCAAGTTAAAAAAGTCATATATTCATAGATCTTACCTGTGTTTGATGAGTCCAACACCAGCTTTGATCATGAAAGGTACACCATCCCAACGTGCATTATCGATGTATAAGGCAGCAGCGAAAAAGGTAGGGGTCCGGCTGCTGAAACACACATCAACCTTGTCTCGAGAAGTAGCTTTATACTGACCGAGAATCACATCACTGGGTTTCAATTCCCGAATTGATCGGAGAACCTTAACCTGGAAGGACGCTTCTCATTGAAAAATGCTATGAGCTTTGAAATCGTGTTAATCACACTAGAAAATATCACTACCTTTTCATTTCGAATATCTTCACCGTCAAGACTTATAGGTGGTTCCATGGCTAGCAATGCTATAGTCTGGAGCATGTGACTGTGAACAATGTCCCGAATGACTCCATAACCATCAAAATACCTGTATTAAACGATGAATGCAATTAACAGGATGACAAAAAATTATTTATAGGATACAAAAGGACGGAGAAAAACATTTATGACTACCTTCCTCTTGGCATACTCAAGTCTTCTGATAAAATCACCTGCAAAAGAACGATACAAAGATGTAAGGAGCAGACGGCGAGTTCCTAAAAGCAAATTTAGAGTAAAAGAATTTGTAACATCACAAAGCTTACCTGCACATTACGGATGTATGTCCGACTCCATAATGGCTCAAAAACTAGATTTGAAAACCGTAATACGGTCAGGTTTTCAATGAGGTTCCTCCCAAGGAGATGATCTATCCTGTAGTAAAAGATGGATTTAAATTGTAGTAATGGAAACATATAAATAAAATAATAACGGATTGAACAGTTTGATAACATAGAAGGATCAAAAAACATGCTTGTCCACCTGTAAATTTGCTTCTCCTCATACTTAGAGAGAAGGGATTTCGTAAACAGTTGAGAAGACACAGCGTCGAATCCAAACGGTTTCTCGATTATTATACGATTCCAACCCTTCTTCGTTTGTGCATTATCGGCAAGAGAGGAAGCAACGTCCTGAAGCGCTTCATGTGGAACAGAAAGATAGAATATCCTGTTTGCCCGATAGCCCCCCTGAAGTAGGTAAGCTGTTAATTATCAACTTAATAGCATACATTTTGAACATTAGAGTTGAAAACTTCTGGTTTTCAGCATTGCTTACTTCAATCTGCTCCATTAGAGAATTCAGCTTGGACATCCCTTCTTTGTTGTCATAACCTCCATTAAGGTAGTATGTTCTACTAAGAAAAGCATTCATCTTGTCCCCACAGTCTCGCCTGATGGAGGGAATTAGAAAAAAGAGATTAGGATCCAAACACCTTTCATATATGTATACCTATCCATAAAATAAGCAAATGCAATTATGGTTTTCTGAGCTCTAACAGTCAATATACTTCGAAAAATTTATCGAAGAGAAATCAGTATGTTGAAATCCAAAACAAGTTTGCAGGCTTTAGTGTTACACACCAGTGACAGCCAGGCACCACCATCTTTAGACATAAGCAACTAGTTTTAAAAACCTTCTTACATGGAATAACCTTCATAATGCAGCTCTAGAAAGCATATTCAATTATAAAAACTATGAATCTCAATAATATTTAATAAAAGGTTAAGAATTGAAGATGAGGATTTCAAAGAGGGGGATATTGTAACATTAGCGAGGACCGTACTGATGATCAATGCGGCAAGTCAAAGTTGAAGCGATGAGGGATCTCAATTCTTCATCAGTCAAATCCTTTCTGGAATAACCGAAGATACCGACATTCTGCAGTCAAGTAAAAGGATAAACTGAAGAATGAGAAACACTGATCACAGTTACTTAGTCCAATGGGAAAGAAAGAGCTCAATTCTTCTATTGATCCTAATTTCTAGAGTGCTCCGAAATCCACTATGTCCTAATGATGTGATAAAAATAAAGTCTGCAAGAAAACAAATGAGGCATTTGATATTAGAGTAGAACTACCTCCGGAAGAAAACCGCTGTAATATAGAGCAAATAATGCCGGAAAAATCTTCTTCTTGGCAAGCTCACCGGTAGCTCCGATAACAGCAATGCATAAAGAGGGTCTTCCATGATTATCATCAACATTCAAATTCAAGGAACTTGTTCCGACAGGAGGCAAAGTATTTTCCTTTGGTTGTGAAGTTGTTCTCCTGTGTTCTTCGGCAGAACCTACAAATGTCAGAAAGTCAAAAGAATCACAAAGGTACTAATATGATGAAAGAAATCAACTTCAAGAAAATGTATTAACAAAATGTATCTTCTTTTCTTTTCTTTTCCAACCGTTGGACAAGGATATAGTTGATGCTGCTTCCGAATATTGTTCACCGTTCTTTGAAGGATTTTCCGACTGATCCTTGTCTTGATTTCTTATTCCCTTCAACTCATGTGCACGTACATGCTGCCGACGGTTCAGCCGCTTAGGTATCCGTAGCTTCAAACCACGAAACCTCCAGCAGAAACTACCGGCTCCTCCATGGAGCACAAGCCGACTGCCTCTCGACAATCGGAAGTCATTGGCTGCACCCTACATATACCATAAATAACTCACTGGATGTACTCCTACATACTAAAATCTGTTCTCTAACCCAAAAAGGACAGATAAAAAATAAACCCATTGACCTGCAATTCTCAAAACCTGTCATAAGGACCAACTGTGTAATCTTAAGCACTTCCTTTTAAATGTACATAAAATCAAAGGCAGCATCGTTATACCTCCGGAGGCATAACTCCTCTGAGGAGACAATTCGCCCACATGCTTACGAAGACTATAGCCAGAGAGACTCTCCCATAAAGGAAGTCCTCCGGCCAACCATAAACTTCTGATAAGATCTTACTATAAAGACCAAATCCATTAACTCACGGCTGCATTTATACACCTTGTTGGCCTATGAATAATAATGATGATTCTAGACCTGACACTAGCATACACAAGGAGTCGGTATATAAACCCGATGAAGGGTATTCTTATTCTGGAACTATCTCTAAAAAACACATTACATCTCACAATTCTCTCCTACATCTCTAAAATCAATATTACCGGTCGGACGCCGTCTAATTACCGGCTCTCCACTGAAATCAGAAGGGATAAATCGCGGTAACCGGTACACTCCTTTTGTTCCATCAACAAGGATCAAGTTCTGTCAATCCTAAAGTTTGATCCTATATGTTTAATATGACCTCTCCGATC